GATCTGCAAACGCAGATTCAACACACGGAACGTAGGAGTCGCAAATGAAATTTCAAGACAGATGCACATGCGAGACGTGATATATTTTTACAAATTGGTATGATTTAATTTGCAAGTTTCCAAACATTTGAATAAATCATTACACCTTTGTGCAAATACCAATTTACAAGTCACAAATTTTGACTTTGCGCTTGCAAATTAAATTTACAAGTCACGAATGTTGACTTTGCGTTTGCAAATTATATCATACGCGTGGATTGCGGTGTTTGCATATACGAATAATATTGAGACATATCTCTCTCCATAGATGGGGACTTTGAAGTTTGAGATTTGGACCCCAGTTGGACTTAAATGTGTTCTAAGCAGACCCAATATGCAGCAGATGATAGAATACTCTATCACATACGACTGCAGCGGTGCATCATCTAGAGATTCAGTATCTGGCCAAACATTTCCGCATAGCGTAACGTGCACCATTCTCACCAAGAATAGACAGTGAAAATGATCTGTTGATAGTCTATAATGTCTATAATCGATTTTGTCGTTTCAATGTCTGTATCTGTAGAATGTGTCACATATTTTTCAAACTAAATACTTCCTGAATCTGTTTTAGTTTCAAAGCCCAGAATCCATCAGAATCATTTGTTACAAAGTATTTATTGTATTGTATTCATCAAAGGTAAACTCAGCAGCAGTTCAGTGAGGCAGGCCTCACGTACAGGTAGAGGTAAGCAGTGTGGCCCAAGCGTGAGAGTCTGTGAAGCTGTACTCAGGCTATATGTGCTAATTAGCCAAATTTGTAATAAAGTGATTTGTGTGAGCGGGATGTTAGGTCACTGATTTTGTCATGTGTTGAACTTCATAGCCTAACTTTGCGGCATGTACACTTTATTTTCGAAAATATCATGTTAAAAGTTTCACTTTACACAAGAAACAGGATGTATAATGTTGCTGTAGATACAATTAGTTCAATTAGTTCAAATTAGTTTGTTTACATTTTGGAAAACAAAGTTCACCAAATGAACTATTAGCAGTTCATTTTGCTTTGTTCCATTGAATGTACTGACACCTAGCACTGAATTACTTTGATATTGAAGAATTCTTAAAAATTGGAGGATTCTCAAGGATGCGAGTTCTGAAGCTTTTCCATTCCCTTTTTGTTTTTGAGGACAAATGTTGAAGAAAACATTTATGCTGATGTTCAAGCTCATAGTCACACTTTAAATCAGGTACTGACATTGGCCAAGTTCATCAAGTGAAAGACACAAAGAAGTCAGCAACTTCCTGGCCGCACAAAATCGGACAAAAGCCATAAGCCTTTATTAGTTTTTTTGTTATGATTCATACTGATATAAAAAACATGCTGCTAGCATGGCTATAAATGCTGTACCCGTCATTGCTATTATTTGTGCCCTGGTGTTTTAGCCTAGTTCAGCTGTACGGTGACACACCTTTTATTCAGCTTCCCTATCTCGGACCTCCAGACAAAGTTAGACAGTTTGGTGGAAGTTTGATAAATCATGGGAAAAAATTTGTGCCAACTTGATGGAATGCTCAGTTATTTATCTATTTATATTTTAAATGCTCCATTTGTGCTTTAGAGTCAAATATCATTACCCCTTCCGAGACGTCTTCCTTTAGCTCCTCCATGTCCACAGAGGAGTCAGTTTTCTTCAGCACCACCCGCATTACCTGCTTCCTCACTGCATAATCTGTTTGATTCAAGGGAATAG